AATATGCTTCATCTTGGACCGGTTTCTGTGTTTTCAACAGTACATAAGAATGTATAGTATATATGTGAATATATATGTATATATAATCATTTGTATATGTGAATTATAATAACTTCTCAATATCACAGGGATGTTATGAGAATCAAATCTGATATGTGTGAAAGCACTTTGGAAATATGAAAGTTCCCACAATGCAGTGTTTATATAAGTTATTATTACTACTAATAAGGAATTATGTTTGTTCCTTACATGACATAAAGATCAGTTCTGGAGAGTGCTTAAAGAGGGCACCAAATATCCACTTAACTGAATAAATTTCATTTTCATGTCCTAAAATTCTCTTGTTCCCTAAGTTGAATAGGATCTGTATCTCTCACTCCAACTGGCCCCTCACACTAATGCTGTTATTCTTGGGCTGACCCCTTTATATCCAGATAGGATTCATTTCAGCATTGCTTATTTAGGGCAGATGTGTCAGCCTCACTGGTAACCTATAAGACAGGTAATGCCAATCCATGCCCGGCACTGCGATTGCCTCTTCTCCAGGCTGGATCTCCTGGAGAGTTACTGCACAGATGCAGGGATGCTGGAGTTCTCTCTAAGTTCTCTTCCTTAGTCACTTTCCTGGGACTTAGAAGATTGTGACAACCTAACTTATTTTATCTCCGCATCCAGAGTTTACTTTTAATTCATGCCATATTATATCTAGTGTATCTAAATGAACAGATAAACAGGAAAAACAGATCACTTAGCAAACACTGCTAATTAAAAGAGAGAGAGAGACGCATGGCCCGGCCCCACGGCTTAGCGGTTAAGTGCGTGTGCTCCGCTGCTGGCGGCCCGGGTTCGGATCCCGGCCGTGCACCGACGGACTGCTTCTCCGGCCATGCTGAGGCCACGTCCCACATACGGCAACTAGAAGGATGTGCAGCTATGACATACAACTATCTACTGGGGCTTTGGGGGAAAAAAATAAATAAATAAAATAAAAAATAAAAATAAAAATAAAAGAGAGAGAGACACACACACAGTCAGAGAGAGACAGAGAGACAGAAAGAAGGAGAAGGAGAAGAGAGGAGGGGAGTTGAGAGGAGAAGAGGAGACTGATTCTCTGTGTGACCCAAGCAGCATTGGCTCCTTATTGTAGTGGTTGTACTTGTAGTATTTGTATTTGACATTGTATTTGTATTTGACATTGCCTATGGATTAATAATATGCTAATTAACTCCTTTAAGACACTGAGCAGTATTTCCTTAGTGCATTATAACAGTGGAATTATTTGCCTTTCCAAATTATGTTTAAATCTAAAAGTTTGAGAACTGCTTAGGCATATGTTTTATCTTATTTCATACACTTCTGTGGCACAGAGTTTATGTCTATGTTTTATGCCTCCAGAACATCTATCACAGGAATTCAATAGAGTTGATTTAAAATGTCATCACCATTGATTGTGGTGATTATTTCACAGTGTATATATATATCAAAACATCAAGTCATACACCTTAAATATATACAATTTTTATTTGCCAATTATACTTCAATAAATATCGGGGAAAAAGTCATCACACTCTGAAATCTAGCTATCTTCTTTAAGTATCTGCAATTGAAATAAAAACACTTTATGAAAATAATTATAATTGTGAAAATAGAATTAATAGTGAATGATTCATCTTCACTTTAAAAATAGAAGAAATATTACACATGACACTTGAATTGGTAGAATTATTTCAAATAATCTTATCCCTGATGGTCATCCTCTCCAAGCTCACCACATCTAGTTGTATGTTTGTCACAATTGCTCATTTTTAACAGCTCATTAAATCTCAAAATAAGAGTGAGCAAGTATAGATTATTTTCCAGGAGTATAACTCCCAAGAGTGGGAGTTGAGAATTGTGGCAAAAATCACACTTTTTCAAAGGTTTTATCTGCCTTATAACATCTCCAGAAGTGACAATGAAATTTTATAACTGGTTTCCACATTATACTTCATGCCTGGAAATTTACGGTAGAGAAATAGCAAAAAGTGACATTATCTTTAACCGAAAAGAGAGAATGACTGAAAGTAAGAAGGAAGGAAAAGCTAAAAATGTCTTGCAATATGTTGCTATCCCTGCTTTTATGAAGCATTCCTGTCCCTTGAGAAAGCAATAAGATACAGCTTGCTCTATAGAGAGGACAAAGAAAAAACCAGTTGACTATCATTCTGGGTTTTTTTCCTATATAATATTCCCCCAACTCTCCCTGTCTCACCTGAACTCTATCGCAATAGTCTTACATTATTTTCAATTGATTGTAGGGAAGCTATGCCTTTATAATGTTTTCCTTCAAAATCTAACTACAGGATAAAAGTTTCTTCTTCTTCCTGAAACAAATTGCATGAAGATAAGAGCTGATTGAGACCAGCCACCAAATTCACATCAAGAAATAAGTGCAGGCCAGAATGCACTCATAAAATTTATATCCTTTGATTGATTCTTCCATGCATTCACTCACTCATTAATTCATTCACTCATTCACAATCATTTATAGAATATCTTTGATTAATAAGGAGTTATGCAGAGAAGAAATATAATAAGGAACCAGACTTCCCTGCCTTGAATTGCATGAAGAACTTCAGGTGTGCAAATGAAGACTGTCTGTGAGCAGAAAGTTGCTCTTTCACCACTGAACGTGGAAGGAGCATAGGTGTTAGAGCTAGATGGATTGGGCTGAAATCCCAGCTCTGCCACTTATTAGCTGTGGGACTTTGGGCAAGTTTTCTAACTTCTCTAGGTTTCTTCTTAAGTAAAAATGAAGTTATTTACACTTACTTTGCAGAATCATTATGAATAATAAATTCTCTAGGGCTGGATAGGCACACTGTCTAGCACAGTGGCTGGCACTTAGAAGATGTTATTGAGAGTATTTACTACATAGGCACAGCTGGCTCTGTGCACATTCTCACTTTGCTCTCCCTGCAACATGCAAAGAAAAGTTTATTCCTAGCACTGGACTCCTGAGATCTTTAGACACAGACATTCCCTTTACAAAGGAAGTGCAATTTCCTGACTTAAATTTACACTTCCATGTTTAAACATTCCGTCACAGAACAAATTACATATTTGATATGAGAGTACTTTTTAAAACACCTCAAAAAACATCACATCATCAATATATTGAAAAGCCAAGGAGCTTCTCTTCTTTTTTCTCTAGCTGCATGATGTAACCAAGAATCTGTCAAATCGTATTCGTTTCCGAGTTTGGAGACTCTGACTTATCGGTTCCAATGCTCTTCTAGTAAAGAGAGGGAAACCCTAAGGTGGCGAGGTCACTGCACTGCTGAGGGTGAGACTCAGGAGTAGATTCTGGCCTCCTGGCTCTCTAGCCAGTAGGCATTCTACTCCTTCCATAGCTCCCAGTTTCATGTTTGGGAATGGGGAAGAAAAAACTGGCAGAAAGAATAATTTGCTACTTTTCCCAAGTTTCTCAAACATGATTTGCCTTTTTCAATCCTGCCTTACGTTTTATGGAAAATTTTAAGCAAGGCTTTTGAGAAATACCAGGCAATGGTGTCTGCTGACATCACCTAGAGCTGCCAGACCGGAAAGCACTCAGCAGCCTGTGCAAAGCCCACTAAGGACCAACTGAAGAACCCATGTGCAGATGCGGGGGGAGCATTTTGTTAACTGTCTTCTACTGAGGACTAGGAGCTTCACCAGAGAGACTGCCTTTGTGTACACATTTCAGTAGATGGCATTTGTGGCTGAACTCTTCCCACAGGTATTTCAGTGTTTTACTTAGTTATGCCATTGTCTAACGACCCCCTTCTTTGATCGCTATTCACACACTTTTTTTCCATTAAAAATGTGATAAGTAAAGTTCACACGTAAAACACTTAGATCACTAAGCGATTACCCACGTCCTCTCTCGGATAGCTTTCCTGTCTCCAGCCTTGCATTTACAATCCATCCCACTCAGTTGACATGTTTCCTCGCAGTTGCTGGCACGTATCTCCCACCTGGATGCGCCGTTTTCCTTCCCTACACGCCTCTGCAATCCCTGTCCTCATCCCTCCATTCTCATTACTCAGATGTCTGCTGATAAAGGACAAGAAATAAGCCTTCTAGTCACAAAAAAAAATATGTCATTTGTCATCATGAGAACTTCTGAAATCGTGTAAGTGTCACCATTCAAACAGAAAGTTCAGAAGACAAGCTTTTCTTGATGGTTCAGTATCACCGTTCCGAGCATCGGTACCCGCAGCACAGTACTGGTGATTTCAGATTCCAAAGAGGACCGTATCACTGCCCTGCTCCCTAGGTTCCCAAACAATTCTGTCACTTTTTAGTCAATGCCTGCTCTTACTGGTTTTTCTCTCTGGTTTATCACTGTCAGGATTTATAGGCACTCTTTTCCCTTCAAATTTGCTCCTTCAGATCTGCTTTCAGCTGGAAATCCAGATAATCAAGGTTCTCTAACTATCTTGAGAAATAATAAATTGGCTTTAAGAGAAAGAGGGTCAGAGAGGCTCTCGAATAAGAAAGCCTAGGTCCTTTAAAGCACTAAGTCAAGGCCCATGGCTTAAAATACACAAGATTTGTTAGTTTCCTCAAAATGCAAAGTTCCTTAGGATGATAGTGCATTTATTTGCAAGTGATCTGCCCAGTAATATTTTTACTATGATAATTCTCAAATCTGCTTTTCTTACTTCCTTAAGTCCAAGAAAACTTATTGGAACTAGACTCCAAATACCTCAATTTTTGTTTTCCAAGTTCTAGTCAAGCCTTACTGTCTTTGACCTCCTTGCTACCTGAAAGACTGGGAGGTATGCTGGCTTGTACTTACAGGTAGAACCTGATGCTGCCACGAAGGGGTTCAGCTATATTTACCCAGGTAAGTGATTCACTCAGTGTATCCTGAGCAGAGAGAGAGATGCTCTCTCTGGTAGCCCATTTTCTCGTTTCCGAGGACCAGCTTTTCACTTAACAAATTGAGGAGTGCTAGTACTAGTTATTGGTGGTCTAGTGGTTAAGACTCGGCGCTGTCACTGCCATGGCCTGCGTTCATTTTCTGGTCAGAGAACCACACCATCTGTCATACTGTGGCGGCTGCGTGTTGCTGTGATGCTGAAAGCTATGCCACTGGTACTTCGAATATCAGCAGGGTCACCCATGGTGGAGCTTCCAGACTAAGACAGAGTAGGAAGAAGGCCTTAGCCACCCACTTCTGAAAAAACTGGCCATGAAAACCCTATGAATAGCAGTGGAGCATTGTCTGATAGAGCGCCGGAAGGTGAAAGGATGGTGCAAAAAGACTAGGCAGGGTTCTGTTCTGCTGTACGCAGGGTCGCTAGGAGTCAGAATCAACTCGAGGGCAGTAATGACAACAACAAAGTACTGGTTATGGGATCTTGCAACATTGCTCCCCAGTGATTCGGTGTACGGGCAGTGGAGTCAGACCCAAATTAAATCTGGTTCTCTTAGAACTTGGGTGATTTATTTAACTTCTCATTTGTAAAATGGGAAGGATGCAGTACCAATCTTTGCAGTGTAGTTGTAAGAATTAAGAAAATCACGATCGATGAAGTACTTAATCCAGTTCCTGGTACATAATAAACACTAAATAAATCTTAGCTATTCTTGCCTTCATTATTATTATACAAGACATGCATATGTTACCTCTAGCCTGCCGGGGGGCAGCATGTTTGTCATTAAAGTAGGCAAAACCTCAGTATCCCAATAACCACAATAGGTAGACTATCCACATTTGGCCTTGCTTAGAATATTGTGAAGGAGGAGGGGAAAAAAGCCAAATATTGCATAAAGAATGCAAATGTATTTTTTCTCTGAATGTTCTATTTTGCTTTTCAACTTTTAAACTCTGCTTTATTTCAAAACATACTCCCAATCATTCCAAAGCATTTTCAAGCTGGAAAGCCTTTCTTTTTGTTTCACAATAAGCTAACTGCAGGTGCAAACTCGAGGGAGACAGACCTTGGAAATTTTAAGTATGTTGCCATGGCAATGGTTTGCAAGAATGTCTATGAGTTTCATCTTAGCTCTCAAGCATTCAACCGAGTTCATATGTGGAGGTTCAAATCACTAGGCACACAATATTTGCCATTCATTGTGTCTTGAAAGGTTTGGAAATAACTATCTCTGTTGCTTATAGCAACCAGAAACCACAAAATACTATCTATCTATCTATCTATTTATTTATTTATTTATGCAAATATGGAGATCTAGTCTCTCATTATCTGCCTTAGCTGGCCAGTCTCACCACTGTGGCTTCTAAGGGAAGCTGTATACATAAATTCAACAGTAATCATTTTCACCATTGTTACAAACACAGAGTTACATCCCCAATATAAAATAGCTGTAAAAATTTTCCACTGAATTTCACATTAATTTCCTCATTCAAAATGTACATATCCTTAAAGAAGCATGATAATTATTTAGGGATGCTCACTTAAAGCAAGCTTTCAGTCTAATGAATTGTGGAAGATCTTAAGAGGGTCCCATCCAATAACGCAGGGAAAGAAGGTTAAAGTGTGTAATTCTAGTCATTAAATCAAATGCTGCCCCTCCAAAGAAAGCACCATCACCATCACCAACAACAAAAAGACATAGAAAAGAAGTCATTTTATCTAATTTGAACTACCTCAATTATTCTTAAAGCGTTTGGTTGATTCTTATAAATTCCAAAACCTGCACAATGGACTCATGATTCATTGACAAAAAAGCAGTGATTCTTGACAAAAGCATTTTTTTCCCCAAAAATGGAATCTACAGAACACTAAAATTGGAAAGTTTTAAAGCTATCTATTTGGGATAAGAAATAATTCTTAACAAATTCTCTTCAAATGACAAGGCTTTTTCATCTAAAATTGTTCTGTGCAATTGTGCGAATTAATTCAATATTTAAAAAACAAATTCATTCACCAGCAAAAACACCCTGGATTTCTAAGACTATATATTCTTTAGTTTTCCTAGCAAAAGCTTTTGCTGCAAATGATCCATCACGATAGAAAGTGCTCTACATTAAAATGAGGCCCCAAGAGACCCCACCAACTCCTGCTCTTGGGTACTGCCAAAACCTTCACAAAGGTATATTTAACTACCAAAGCCTGGCAGTTATTTAAAATTCACTTTGCTGCTTTAAGTTTGACCTATCTTCCAAAACACACACACATACACATATAATCATTCTCTTTATCCTCCACGCTCCTTGATTTAATAGCTTGCTGATGTACTTTAAAACGGCAGTAGTGCTCCTCTCCCCTCCCCCACGCTAAAAAGCCTACAGCAATGCTGAAATTAAACAAATAAGAACACAATAATTAGCTATGCAAACTGTCAAGTGGATCTAAAAAGAAAAACAACCAGAAAGCACAACAATCAGCACCTTTAAGCTCTAACAAAAATCTACATTGAGTTCCCATTTATTTTAAACAAAAATAGATTAGGTCTTTTGAAAAATGTTGACTGCAATTTCTATGGAAATAGGGCAAATCAGCTAATGGGTCTTTTACATCTCCAATTTCTGTGATGCTGATGTAGTAGAAGTCTTTGATCCTACACTCTTTCCAAATAATTCCTGTTCTACTCTTCTATAACCAGATTCATTCCCAAAGTGAGCAGCATCAAAAATGGTTCCAAAGTGGATATGGTACAGGTGAGTGGGTCAAATCACATGCAGTGATCCCCCAACCTCACCTTAATAGTTTTGTAAGTAATAACTAAATTAAAGTGAAAATTAATGGCAAACTGGAAAGAGAAAAGAATTCTTAAATTATCTGGTGTGTTTGTGTGTGAATGGGAGGAAGAAGGCATTCAATTCTTTGCATGCAGAGTACTGATTATATAATTTGTAGCTAACTCTCTGGGCTTCTTTATAGGTAGTAATTACCTTCTCCCCCTTAGCAACCTAGTTGAGTCCCTACGAAGCAACATGGATTACCTCTATCATACACATGCTTTGTCTGAAATACTAATCTAATGTTTCCATTGATGGTCAATGTTCCCTTAACCCATTATGCATCCAGTGATAGAATTAGAACATCAGTTTTTTAAAAAAAATGCAGAATTGTGACGAAATAGGTCAACTCAACTACTGTAAAACTTTTGTTCGCTTCAAATCCTTTATCTTTTAAACTTGTAGAACAATAACCACCTACTTTATAAATTGAGAATGTAAAGTGGGATGATTGAAACTGATCTAGAATAGGGCACAGCATTCTGAGGATCGATTAGGAGTTCAATAATTATCTAAACCATTGATCTGGGGAAATCATTCCCCATCCCAATATAAGTAGGTTAGATTAGATGACACCTCAGGTCCCTTTAAAATGTAATAATCAAAGGTAACATGAGGTAACACAAGGTAACTACACAGTTAAGTATCTCGACTGCTGTGGTGATTATAAGAAGCTACACATGTGATGAACTTGCATCAAACTAAACACACACACACACAATAAGTGCATGTATAACTGGTGAAATCTGAATAAGCTCTGTAATTTATAACAATATCAATATTCTGGTTTTGATATTAGACTACAGTTATGCAAGATGTTAACATGAGGGGGTGGAGTAAAGTGTGTAAGGATCTCCCTTTATCTTTCTTTGCAACTTTCTGTGAATCTATAATTATTTCAAAATAAAAAGTTTTAAAAATATATAAATACATAATACATGTATACATACATAAATATAATAATCTTCGATTTCATGAAACGGCTTGCAGACAAAGATGAAAGGCCAATATATAGGGCCTGATATTTTATCAATGAAACTAAATGTATTGGTTCCAAACAATTTACTTTTCAGCTAAATGTGATAGCTGGTACCTGAAACAGTGGTTTTAAGGTAGTTAGAATATTGACTATACTACCATGATTCAAACAGGGAAACTGTCACATGACATGTTGTTACTAGTAACACCATTTTTGCCTACCCTTCTGTCATTTATCCTTGAATATTGAATCATAAGGATTAAGACACCAAATAACTATAATTTTCAACAACAATAACAACTAATGTTAAGCCCTTGATTTAAAAGAGAAAATGAAAACAAAACACAAATAAAACAAAACAAAATCAACAAAATTAAAAAGGAGATATCAAGCGTTTACTAAAAATTAAATTTCCAGTATTTATATACTGAAGACTCTATAGTTTCTGCCCGATTAGCTACTCCTATGATGAGTAATCTTACTTTCCATTCCTAAAATCCTGCAGAATCCTATTCATTTATAAATTAAGTTGTGTTCAATATGTTTCCTTTCAATGTTACAGAATTCAGTGGATTCTCCTGACCTCCATGAGGTCTAAAAATGATGAGTAGTGACTTAGCAATTTTATAGCTATACACTGGTTTCAAAATTTGATTCTTAAGTGACACAAATGGGGCAAAAGAAAGCCATAGATGCCACTAGCAGACTTCTGGTAGAGGCAAAGTAGAAGAAAAGAGGCAAAACAAACAAGAAATTATAAAGAAAGAGAATGAGCAGAAAGAAGAAAAGGGATTCTCCACCTATATTTGGATAGTGGCTGGGAGTCACAGTTCATTTTACGAATGAGACAAATAATGGAGGTATTTCAGATTTAGGAAAGCAGGATTAAAGTCTCACTCTGTGAGATGTGAAACAGGTCTTTGTTTCAAAATTCTAGAAAGGGGTTTAAGAGAAAAGAAGCATTATAAAATGTACAAGTAAGACAGTCCATCATCAAACCAGCTCTGCTCCAGGACTAGCCAACTAAACTATGTCTTTCCCATTTACCTCTCTTGTGACAGCAAAGACTCTACTCCTCTTAAATACCAAACCTTAAGACACAGAACAGAAAAGTGCCTAGTAGAGGATTTTCCTGTCCTTGAACATCTTTGACCAAAGAATACAAGGTAAAACAAACAGAGGCAGTTTCTCAGTCACTTTAACTAAAACGGGCAAAGAACAATGAGTTATCTGCTGAAATCCTCTCAGAACTCATGCATACTTTTCCCAGAGTTAATTCCAACAGTTATAGTAAATTTAAAATGGTAAGAGGAATTACTCCCAATAAAAGAATAAAATATATAATGGGCAATTAGCCAAGAAAGACACTAAGGGTGGTAAATTGGTCACATGTTCCAGAGCTGCGGCAACAGAATTCAAGCCTATACTTCACGTGGCCATAACGAAGAGCTGGTGGAGAAGCGTGTGGTTACCATGCCTCATAATGCTTTGCACCTCTTTGCTCTCCCTAGTGCCACAGGGCCACAGGGCCACAGGGCCACAGTGCTTCCTAAATTTTGCAGGGTCTGGAGAATGCTTTAAAGTTGGTGTTTCAAGCTGTGCTCTTCTGCAAGTCAAATCTATCATTATAAGATCACATAAAAAGCCAAACCTCTACTACACATATTAATTTGTATTCCAAAATGCTGGTTTCCCCCAGCATTCTCCTAATTCTGATGGGGGCGGGGGGGGGAGTAAATAGTTTATGTTTAGATGCTGACAACAAATAGGAAAAAAAAAATTTTTAAATGCAATCACTCCACCTTCCACACATTAAGAAGTCTTGAAATGATAAATGTCAAAGTTCTAATTTCATTTCCCTGTGTCTAAGAATATTTCCCCGCTAAAGATTTCCAATTACTAGAGATACTTGCATCTATATTAGTTTTTATATAAATTGTGAACATCCATAAAAATAATTTGTCCTACACATCTAACCTTTTTCTTCCAATATAGACCCACTTTCTTTTTCACATTTACAGAAAAATCCTTACAAATTCTTGTTCTCTGAGGATCTCATTTGGCATTTATTAAATTTATTTTTTCATAAATCTTTATCAGTGTTGAGAATTTCTCTCAGACTGTGTTGTTGATTGCTTATGTCACCACTTTCCTTCCCACTGCCATTAAAAGCCACAGTGCTACTTATTTCTTAGAGAAGAATCTGAAACTGATTTGGGGATGAATGACTTTTAGTCCAGAATATGCAGCACTTTATAAAATATTTATTGCTATAAAGACTAAAAATACACATGGTAGGTACAGTATTCACTGGGTAATTATTTAGTAGATTCAGCCCATGATTTTACACCACAGGATTCTTATTAGGAACACGAGAGAGGGAATCAGAGTTTCTCGACACATGGTAATAAATATTTTCACTTACAATGAATAATTTAGCTCTTTTGGCATTCATTGCATGAAAAATATATTTGAAATAATTTCAAGGTCTCTTAGCAAAGGTGGAGGTTTTGGAACACTAGGAGAAGAATAGGCAGTATGGGGTCCCTTCTGTTTTCACAAAATTTTGCTTGCTTTTGTGGTACACACACTGCAAAATTTTTCCTCATTTGTCAAGATAACGTTAAAATGAAAAGATGTTGTTTCTTCCATAGCATTTCCTATTGTGAGTTTCTAGGATTCCAAATCACTAATTCTCTGAAATCTACCAGCCTTGCCCATAGAATGCTAATGACTCTCTGTATTCTTAGTTATGGAAATGGAAAAGGAATTCTCTCTAATTAATGCTAGCCATGACTGGAATTATTCTCACACTAGTTTCAAAATGAAAACTGCTTAAGAAAATCCCAGATACAAATTCATCTCAAAATTCAGAGCAGATGATTCAACAAAATGAAAAGCAGTCCATGTTTTAAGACTACTTTTCTATAAAAACTTTTCTTTTAAAGGAAACTCACGTTTATTCACACTCTAAAATCAAACCCTTTACCTTATAAATGGGGAAATCATGTACCAGAAAGTTAAGTAGTTGGTATTTATCACACCAGTAGCAGTAAAACTTTCTCCAGTACAATGTCTTTACATGAATCAATTAAAAGAAAATGTCTTAAAATTAGATAAGCTGCAAAAAATAACTGTTCACATTGGGACATGACTTTGAGGTGAATTGGGAGCGGCTGTAAGGGGAGGTCTGAAGTTTAGGAGAGCATTCAGGCTGAGAATGATATAAATTTCCCAAGGAAACAAAGGAAAAAAGAGATTCTGAAACCAGCTTCAAAATAAGACCAACATTTATAAGGGTGGGAAGCAAAAACAGGTGCAAACAAAAAGGACTGCTTTTCTGTTAATCGTTTTTCCTCCTAAAATACTTGATTGAATGTTTCTGAGTAGAAATTCTGGGTAGCCCAGTGAGGAGGATTCTCTTAGGGTATTGATGAGAATCAAACCAAGTGATATAGACATTTTCCAAAAGTATTCTGATGACACTCAGTGGCATCTATGACACACAAATTCTAAAAATAAATAATTTCTCAAAGGGCATACTGAATGTTAATTTCTCAGCATTGACAAACGTACAATGCTTCAATAAGATGTTCACATTAGGGGAAGCTGGATGAAGAGTGAACTCCCTGTGTTTGCAACATTTCCATATATATAAATTGTCCAAATTAAAACATTTATTTTAAAACTAAAAAATGAAACAAGCATACTGATCTGATCAAATCTTATATATTACATATAAGGTGGCAAAACTGGTATTTATAAAATACTTTTCTTCAAAAAAAGATGCAGATACATTCATAAAGGAAAAAAATACACAACCATAACCATAAAAAAGCAATCTATGAATCCCTCCCTTTTGTAATATTTACAGACATAAAACATGTATTATCCTTATTTGAATGACATGTCTTTGGAAACGTGCTTACATTGTAGACTTTCAAATAAACCAAGCATATACTTTTCTACTTCATCTTATCATTTTAAGCCCTTGTCTCTCTTTCTAAAGAACTACAAAGCATTGACATATCATTTAAGGAATTGCTAGGTAGAGAGAAATAGGCTAAAGTCAGTATTTATTTTGTTACTACATCAGTAGCTTTCTGTTTAAAATGACGCCATCTATTGCAATTGAAATGTTACTGGTTAGATGGAAAACCAGAAAGTCAGGAATCTAGAAACCCTTGTTGCATGGATGCCTTTAAACAGTGACCTAAGCTTACTATCTCTAGCTTCCGATTTTGAAAAGTAATCAAAAACTATTCAGTTTGATATTTTACACCTAGGTATTATTTTAGTCAGTTCTAATGAATGGTTCATGAAGTTTCCCATAATTATTCACTGTATTTTAAACTACTAACTGAGGAAATAATAGTATTGATAACCATTTCAGTATAATGTGTAGACTGTTTAAATAATTATCACTCATTCAAAATTGTTTCACTCAAGGCCAGACCCTTGCTTCCTGCCTCTACCTGCTCACATTCTATTTTCTTTTCGGTGGGTACCCTCCAAAAACAAAATAGAATCAAAAATAGAGAAGGAAGTAGAATCAGGCACACTAAAAATTATTGCTGGAGTAGTTTACAAATACTCTCAACTATACCCTAGTGGCCTGAGATAATAATACTCCAAAGTATCTAATTTACTATTGGAAAAATGACTCGATATTTCAAGCCATCCTATCAGTAAAAGAAAACCAATTTCTTATTTCTTAAATGAAAACATTTAGCAACAATGGCTAATTTTAATGAGTAAAGAGAATGAATATAAACTAAATATGAAGGTGATTATTAAAAAAAATTGTACACATTTTGCATTACTTTTATTATTCATAAAGCATAAAAGCTGGCTTTTAAGGAATCAATATGCTGTCCTGAGAACATGTAAAACAGGAAACAACCACCTTGAATGATTTTCAGACAAGGTACTTGGAACCTGGCTCATATTCAAATATCCTCAGTGCCCTAAACCCCACTTCAGAGACTGGTACTGGTGTTACAGAACGTGTAGCCCACCTGATGTGACCTGATTTTGTGTTACCTTTTATTTTGTGACTGGATAACTAGGTCTGCTCAACCAAACATAGAACAGAATAAGATCAGTGAATCTACTTAGCCCATATTGAACTCTCCCCTTTCTCCAAACTACCAGGAAGTGCATAGCAGATACTCAGCAAATATGTATTCATTAACTGACACTATAGGGTAACATAGTTCAGCCTTCATTACTCCTCTAGCTTTATGTGTGTTTGTACTGACTCTTCAACTGGATTTTTAAGGCAAGTGTCTTATTTTCCTTTGAGTCACCATGATATCTAGCCGAGTTCTGTATAGATCAATCAGCCAGTAGATATTTTAACAGATCTTAATTATTAAATATACAAATACACTGAGATAGGTGCTTAGCAATTGCTTATATATTATAATCATCAAGATCCTGGAAAGAGATGTTATACCTCTTGAAGGTTAAGAAAACTCTTGGCAAACCCAAGAGTAGCTATTCCTCCTGAAATTTCCAGTTTGTTATATGTATCCTTTAAACATGTTATTTGGCAGCTAAATATTTAGCAGTGTTTTACACAGACATACATATTCATACACATACCACATTCGACTCTAAAAATATTGTAGTACTACCACTAACCTAAGGGATAGGTGATCCACTCAAATGTAGCTGTGCTAATTGAGAGAAGTCATAGTATGTAATTGAAAACAATGATTTTTAAGCCAATGGGAGGGTAAGTGGTTTAGCAAGCACATCTAGTCACACAAGGTAATTCATAATGTAGATAGCTCACATACCGGTTATTGAGAATTGATGCTTGAGGCTACACCTATGCAACTCTAAAATGAGGAGCTTTTAAAAAAAATCAAAATTCTTATGCAAAATTTTTGATCTGACAATAAGATGGTAGTATTTTGAAGTCATAAAAGTAGTCTTAGTTTTGTATATATAATACACACTTTATTATACATACATAGTGTTTAGATATGTAATCTATATTTTGTTTATATATAATAAATATGTTTTTATTATAAGAAAATTCATTTCATGGGATGATTGATCGGGAAGGCATTGTCTTTGAAGCCCTAGCAGAGTTTTCAACCTGAAAAGTGTGAAGAGGCCAGGTATCTTCCCGTACCAATAAACCTCCACTTTATTCATGAATTGACTAGTAAATCTAGGCTGTGCACTTATATAATCATCACTTTTCGTCAAAATCTTAGAGCTAAGATTTTGGTATCCTACAAAACCCATCATGTTTTAATAAAAAAGCAGTGGAAACAAAGATGAGAGCATATAGACTTTAGGACTAATTTCTTTTGGTCTCCTAAAATAATATTCAAGTCATTCCCACCATTATATGTAGTTGTTGCCTTCTAAACTAAGCAATACTCAAAGTAATGGAGCATTTACAACAAAAGACATTACAGTATAGTTGCGGACAAATAGTAAGAAAAGTATTTGAGCCCTTTTGTTATCAAGAAAATAATTAAATTGTAGCTTAATCTGCAATATCAAAAAATATATACCACAACAATGAAAACAAAAATGTATGATTGATTTTGGGGAAATAGTTCTGAGATACTTACCAATGTGTAATCAAGTGAATTCAAATGAAGGTGAAAATTTGAGGAGCAAATGGAAATTTGTAGTGATAATCACATAATTTATGACATGAAGATAGAAAACGTCTCTCAGATATTTTTCCTTTTTCATGGTTATTATTCAGTTTGGACTCACACTGTCTTAATTTGCTAAGAGACTCTAGAGATAGCCATGGGTTTATAATTGTCTGTGACTCTCCCCAATTATCCTGTGAACTGGAAATTGTGTAACTACTCGATAATATTGTGTTTGGCTCTACTCTGTGCCAGAGTGATGAGGGAAGGGAGCCTTCAGGAGATGCAAATATCAACTGTCAAGTAACGTAAATAAGACAGCAGAAAGTAAAATCAATCTTTCTGGGTCAATATGGTACCCTTAGTAGAAATCAAAGAAATTCAAAGCCTAAATATATACAAAAATGTATACAGCAGAACTTGGTGTCATTACACTCTGCTGAATTTATACATAGCTTATTGTTTGTGTTCAGTAATCTTGAGCTCTGAAGCAAATGGCATTTGAGTCCATAACTGACAGGAAAAGCAGCAGAGGGGTAAAAGACTTGGAGAAGAGGAAAGGGGAAACGAAAGAGAAAACTGAATAATAAAAGATACCACTTGCTTAAGTGTAATTAAATATCCACTAATACTGTTCACCTATGGATTTTGCTAGTCCTCGTAATGCTGGAATTAAGAGCACTGATTTTGACAGGGCGAAATCTTGTTTCAAATGAGTCATTTTCCACATGGGCAGTGTGCAAGCTTAGGTTCTTGAAACATTTAAACTTAATATAGACAAAGGCTGAAAGTCCTTGACTACATGCTTTTTTCCCTTGAAAACTACAAAGTAGAAGTGAAGAGGGCTTTTCCCGTCAATTAGCATTCTACCTACAGCATCCATCATATAGTTAATTGATTGCACTTGTAGTTTATAAATGCACCCAGATGCTGTGGGATGAACACATTTCGTAAATTAAAGGAGCATATGGAAGGCACACAGACAGTAACATTTCATCATAACTACCCAAAACATCCTTAATATGCAGTGCTACATCACTAATTACTTTGTAAATATGTAAGCATTTCCCTGGTTAATGTCTTGGTGAGAAATTTGCTTGGCAGTTGAGCCCAAATGCTATTGTGACCAGGCATTTAATACCGCTTCTGGGCTCTTCTAGTTTCATCCCGCTTTGCCCATAAGGAGAATGTGGTTCTTAGCCTATTAGGCAATCTTGATTGTGCAAAGTCAATGAAAATATTTATTCTTTAACACTGGGTCATCTTGCTTAATGAACGCCAGTAACCCTTCCAAAATGTAAATATCTGTCCAAATCTATCTGCAGGTGCTATTTCTTTCTAAAAACATTAGAGGGAATTTGCCAAGTGAGGAGCATTTTGCTGCTTACTGGACTCTTCCATTATTTTTATTTTTTTTTTGAGGAAGATTAGCCCTGAGCTAACATCTGTTGCCAATCCTCCTCTTTTTTGCTAAGGAAGATTAGCTCTGGGCTAACATCTGTGTCCATCTTCCTCTACTTTATGTGGGACACCGCCACAGCATGGCTTTGATAAGCGGTGTGTAGGTCCATGCCCGGAGTCCAAACTTGCGAACCCTGGGCTGCCGAAGCGGAGTGTGTGAACTTAACCGCTACAGCACCGGGCTGGCCCCTCTTTCATTAATTTTTAAGGATAGAGAATGGAGGAAAAGAACTACAGAAAGTATGGGAAATTGGCTTAGTTCTTTAACTCTGGGAAAATTAGTATAAATGATTTGAGTAAATGATCTTGAATTTACCTCAGAGTATGAGGTAAATTCTTATCTAGGTCATAAATCCTTGTCAAGCCAAGCTTCAAAATGTAAGTAAAAGAGACATGCAACATGTTAAAACTTCCTTTGGAGAATGGAAATTCTCTCCATACACAAGGTCCACCAACCAAATAATTAAGTGAGCTGTAGGTGACCCATGGACCAAAAGATGAATATTTAAACTTTTTAAATTTGTATTTTATTGGTACATTTTAGCAGCCTAGTTTTGGTCAGATTCAGTTGTACTTAGGACTGAAAATTGCACCTGTGTTCACCTTAAAATTTTAAAAGAATCATCAAAATCATAGAATTCAGAAGTAAATTGATTTTTATTCTTTCCCAGTCCTACGACTTTCTGGGCAAATGCTGTGCCCAGTTCTCTGGGTGCTTAGGCGACAGAAGGCTTGATGAAGGATGCTGAGAGATTAACTTCATTTCAGAATTTGAACTGGACATTGGTCGAGCCCCGAGGCTTCATTATAAAATCAACAAATACTTAAATAAAACATTCACAGTTATTCTAGAAATGAGCATCTATTTATAAGCCAGAAGTAAAATAATAGCAGATTAGTCAGCAAGGGCTCTTAATATTTCCACAATTGAAAGCATATTTAGGGAAAAAGTCAGTAAACCTACAGATGCTTGAAGCATCAAAGGTCTGGTACACAAGTTTAGTAGTTATTGCCGTATTTATATTTAGATACCACCAACTCAAATAATACAATAGTTTAATTTTAATTTTGCTCCTACATTTCCTGAATATGGCAAAGAGAAAAAGGCTACAAACAACAACAAATAGTCCACCATTTATAATCCAGTAAAGCAACTTCTATTCATGGGATTTCTTCCCTAATCTATGAAGCAAATTAGGGGCTAACTAATTTGATAAAAAATAGTTGTCAAAACAGACACGACATTCTATCTCATAATTAAAGGAAGATGCAATCGGAAGTTCCCTTGAAAAGAGAGGCCAGGCTTCCTGCACTATTAAGCACACCCTTGCCCCCTCCTCCCCTTTTCTGACATGCAATCCCTTCTGTCCTCCATCTGCTCTGCCCCACCTATTGTCTCTACTCACTGCCAAGCGTGCCAGTCCCATCTGGCCATACTCTTGCTTCTGCTAGCTAGCTCTAATTCCCCTGGGCCCAGGAAATATTTGAATGCCAAGGCATTTTCCCTCTTCACGAGAATAAGGACTAGCTAGGAGAGTATCAAACAATTCCCCAAAGAATTCACACACACACGAACATGCACATGACCTCTCGCATACACAAACAGTAGTTTTAGAATCCTCTCCTAGATTAAAATAAAAAAATGTTTTTAATTCTTTCACCTCGGATGCATTTTTAAAAATTGAAATTTTACTATCTTTGAAATAATCAACATTTATATTTTAAAACATACACTTTCACTAATCCCCAGACACGCATTTATTTTTTCAGTAAGCAGAATTAGTCAGTGTAAATAAATGTTACTCAAATCTTACCATCATGAAATACTGCCCTTAGTTAATCGATTTAATCATTGATCACTAATACATTTTCTGTTGCACTGAACATGCATTTAATTCAGACATTCCACATTTACAAATTTTCAACGAATATCCCACTCTGCAGCAAAAGCATGCATGGTCAGAATCTAAGCATATTTAGGCAAAATTATCACCAAGTCATTAACAATAATAAAGCAGTCTGGCAAGTATTGAAAGCAGCTTTTATTCATGCTTTTACTTGAACCAACTTAATACATATATACATATATACACACACACACAAAATTCTGGTTGTTTTTGCCACAAGCATGCTAAAAAACTCTCTGAAGCTCACATAAAGCAGCAAACAAAATTAGAAGCAACCATGCTCAGGGTTTAAGGACATTTAAAAATTTAAAACAACCTTTCTATATTTCATATAGAGCGTGCATAAATTTAACATGCAATCTCCAAGAAGAAATATTTTAATCTAAATCTTAAAATTAGTTTATCCAAAAGAGTTTATTCTTATTTTCATTATTATTGTTCTTAAGCTTCTGGTATCTTAAACCCTGCATGCTGCAGTTCTAAGCTGTGCTGAGCACCGGCTGTGATAGAAGAAGCTACCTGCGAGTTTTCACAGTGCCATCTCATATCCATGTCTGTCTGGCTACCCTGCGTGCTTAGAGCTTTTTTCTTAATTCTTAATGGAAATCCTAGGAAATTTAGTCCATCCTCTGAAATCAATACTGGTGACAGGAGAGCTCCCTGACTCAGTGGGAGATCAAGATGATAAATTGCCTGCGCATCAGCCTGGCCTATCAGTGCCCTGCACACAGACGGGCGAGAAAAGACACAGAAAAGGCTCTATCAGTCACGTGTCACCGAGGAGCCAATGGCTGACGCGCTACTGCAGGAAGGGATGCTGCAGTTCCGTCTGCAGTTGACGAGGCTGTTGGTACACAGCCCAGCCCGCACCCCGCTCAAAAAGTCTAGCCAGTAGCTGCCGTTGAATTTGCTCCCTGGTTGGGACCGCATAGGGGAATGGACGTCTCTCTAAACCCCTGACCCAAATAGAGACCCATTTTCAAGCTCTGGGAATTTTTTCTATATTACTTTCTAATCCAGTGTGATTGTGGAGCAGAAGTGAAAGTATTTTTTTAACATCCCAGTCCTTAAACTCTTATGTGCTTTCCTTCAGACGATTATTGTGTTTTTACCTAATATTAAATTAGAAATTTTAAACTGTGCAATTAGCATGCAGCCCTTCTAACAGAATTGCCTCAGAGCTTTCTAACCGTAATTATAATTTTATTTCCAAGTTAATGAATGACATTTTTTTGAATGCCATGTTTATAATGAGTATTTTTATGGGATGATTTTGTAAAAGCAATTATGCAACTACTAAGAAGTACATTATTATGCTCTTTGGCCCATTAGAACTGTTCCTCTTTACAGACAATGTAAGTCCCAATAAATATGCCATTTTATCAATCATTAAAAATAAAAACCAACAAGCACCCAAGGATGCACACCCTGTTTCCCAAAGCCTGAAGAACAAATGTATTATCCAGTGATGGAAATATGTACTTATTTTTTGCCTTTCTTCTGAAATTTGAAATACTTCTTTGATAAGCAAAGGCTATACATCTGGAATACCATCTGGAAAGATGTCCCCCAATACATCTGCTTCTATAGATCATACTGTAATAACAGACATGTTCACAGTTCTTCAAGGTAACTGAGAAGACTGTGTCCAGTCCGACAGGGAAGGTAATAAGTGACGAGATCATGATGTGTTTCAAACGACAGTATTATGCAGATTTAAAAAAAACATTGAAAATAAACATTGAACAATTTTCAGGAATAACATTTATATCAGAAAAAGTACCCGGGACACTTCTCTTTATTGTTCTTCATTGCCCAGTTTTAATGATATCCATGCATTTTCATGGATTAATTCTAACTCCTTTTAGAGTCACCTAACACTACTTAGGAAGAGATCTGAGAATAAATACTGATAAGTGTGCTATCATAACTAAATTGCCACTAAGCTTTAGAATGCTGAAATTCCAAAGCTCATTTTGTCTTGGCGACTATTTTTTAAACACATTCCTGAAAGACTGAATCCTGTCAAGTTTTTTGCAAATTTCTTTCCTCTCTTTCTTTTATTCAATATTGACTAT